GGAGCTCACTGTAACTGGAGTCATGTAATCAGATTACTTCTTTAAGTAACTAAAGTAACTCATTACTTTTAAAACACAATATCTGACTTACTTTTTCAAATAAGTAACCCAAGTTACTTTGTTTTCCCATTTATTGACTGACAGGCTCGACTGTCCTCATGTTGGGAGAAATCGAAGTGCAGAGGTGTGTGTGTGAACATGATGCTTTTGTAGTTCTAGACTAAATAAGATTTTTTGCACACAAAAAGGTTCAATATTCCTCAGAAGAACAGAATGAGTGAAACACAGAGTGAGTTTGACGCGTCGGAGTGATTTAGCGAGCGGACGCGAGTGTGTAACACAGCTGATAACACAACACACAAACACACTCATTCTGGCCTCCACGAGTCCGTGAAACCATCAGCAAACATTACTGTAGTATACTTCGTATTCTTCCCTTTTTATTATTTCACTTTTGGTGTGAAAGGGTTTTACATTTGCCCAAAAATATGACTTTTTTGTAATAAAAAAACAAGCCCAGTTGCGTAACAAATTACTCTTCTATAAAAATATAAGGCAATTACTTACTTTTAAGGGAGTAACGCATTATTGTAATGCATTAGTAAGTGATTTCCCCACTGCACACCTCAGGTAAACACACCGTCTTCAGTCCGAGATCCTCTCTAAAGGCCCGGTCAGAGTTCTGGAGAGAGAGCCGGACAGTGTTCCCGTCTCTCGGGGATGATGGAGGGATGAGGAGAGAGAGATGCGGGACGACGACTCACGCGATCCCTCTGAACTGTGCGTGGAAAAGCTTCACCAAATCTCTGGTGCTCTTCGGACATTTCTGACCGCAACATTTTACTTTTTTTTTTTTACTTAATTGTAATGGTACGAAACCATTCCAGTAACCAGTAAAGGTTTTGGCACTTGTTATGTGAAAACAACAAAAAGTTATTGGACATGATCTGAACAGGTTTAATGGTTTACAACAGTCACACTTGTGTTGTTCTTCGCGGTCAGAAATGACGCATTGGAAATGAATGAGAGTGTCCTCTAGTGGAAGCGTCTGGAACTGCAGCCACACGCGCACACACACACACACGCACACACACAAACTGAACGCTCATTTTCATGGCTTTGATTTTCTTACAGTTTAAGAGTAAAACGGGATTTTGACAATATATATTTCATGTAAAAAATTGCATTAATTTAACAATACATGTAAAATTCTGTTACTTCTTTATGTTCACTTTTTAAAACTTTTCTCACTTCAACAATAATCTGCCGAGAGTGTGTCTTTGAAAAGAGACCAACCTCAGTCTGTCGCTCTAAAGCAATCAAGATTTACCAGTTTAAGCGGGAAATATAATTTTTGGTCGCTAAAAAAGTGATTGTAAATACAGCGGAAATACAATTTAGTACCATAAAATCCCCTAAAAATACAAAATATGACTTAAAAACACAATCGAATGTACTACGTTCATTTCATTGACAAATATAATAATAGTAAAAAATTGGGTCATTTTTGTCGGACACGCGAAGAGCACCAGAGGGGTAACTGGCACTGAATAGATACGTGTAGCATCTCTATACTAAAGTGACTAAATACTTGCTGTAGAAGGAAATCTTCCTGAGACTGTTTGGCCTCCAGCGGAGGTGTGTGTGCTCTGAGGAACACGTGGCGTCAGGACCCGGCCCGGACCCGGCGTGCGCCAGCGCTATATTTGGTGCGGTGCCGAAGCGGTCCTCCAGATTCAGGCCCGCGGGCAGAGCCGGGACACGACGGCCTTTCTTGGTGTTCAGTGTGTGTGATTGATGCTGACGCTTCGCCTGTACTCTGGCTAATTATAGAGAGAGCAACTGCTGGAAATATCTGATCCCATCCGCATTCCTGCTCTCGCTGGGACACTGAGGAATGCGATCCGGGTGTTTGGCTTTTCTTCTCCCCCTCCCGTGTGTGTGTGTGTGTGTGTGTGTGTGTAACCCTGAGGCCAAATGCACAAAAGCGCTGACGTGGCAAACAGGATCACTGAGGCCTTCAGTCCTCCAGCATGAGCAATCCTTTAGCAAGGAGTTTTAAGGAATGAACTAAACCAACAATGTCTGATGCAAAAAAGTACTAAATAAACAGATTTTTGACTTTTATGAATGGATGAACTGAAACACGGCCGATGACGAAACTGAAGCAGGAACAGACATTCTTCCAGTGACGCCAACAGAACGAACAGGAGTTATCTGGACTTTAATAATGTTCTCAGCATCATAAATGGAATATTTTTATTATGAAAGAATTCGTTAGACTTTCAACTGACGGTTTTTAAACGTCGAACATCGAAAAGCAATAAAATGGATCACTCCCTTGAAAAAAACATTTTGAAAAATGCACATTTAAAACGTAATTTTGAATATATTGCATAACTCAATAGTTGCATATCATTGCATTTCTTAAAGGGATACTCCACTTTTTTTGGAAATAGGTTCATTTTACCACTCCCCCAGAGTTAAACAGTCGAGTTTTACCGTTTTCGAATCCATTCAGCCTATTTTGTGAAATTTAGAAGAATATCAGAAACCAAACAGTTTCTGGTCTCATTGACTTCCATAGTAGGAAAAAAATATACTATAGAAGTGAATGAGACCAGAAACTGTCTGGTTACTGATATTCTTTTAAATATCAGAAAATCGGCTGAATACATTCAAAAACGATAAAACCCAACTGTTTAACCCTGTAAAATGAACCTATTTCCAAAAAAAAGTGGACCATCCCTTTAAAGTCCCCCATGACAATCATTTTTATCCCTTGGAACTCATATTTAAGTTTTTTTCCTTGCAAAAATGTCTGAAAATACCTTGTAACTGTAATGTAACTCGACACCCTCGCCTCATTTAGTATGTGCGGTTCTATGAAAATGCAAATGAGCCCCGCCTCCACTCCCTCACTCAGAGATCCACTGGTTGACGATCACACGTTGATCTGATTGGTTACAAGGTGGTTTGTGACGTCAGAAACACCAGCGATTTCAAAGTGTGTTTTTGAGACTGTCTTTGGTTCACTGCAGGAAATACTCAGCAATGCTGTCCACTTATCAACGCACACATGCTTAAGCATATTAAACACACCACATACACACATAAACAACATTAAACGCTGGATTTACACCACAGGGGGACTTTAAATGTTTATGTTATGCTCTTCAAATTAAAGGTTCAATGAAGAACGTTAAAAGTCCACAAACCCCTTAGAAATAAAACCATTGGTTCCCCTAAGAACCACGTGAGGAACATTATAATAATCTAAAGGAAGACTCTCTAGATGGTAAAAGGTTCTTTTAAAGTGTAAAAATATTATTAAAATAATCTTCACAAAAAGGAAAAAATGATTATTTTCAGGTCAGTTCCGTGAAAGGTTCTTTAATGGCATTCAACTTTAACCTCTGAAAGCCGACTCTATTCCTCGTTTTAGTCTGAAGAACCCAAGCCAACCATAAACAAGCAGTGTGAAAACTCAAAGTGTTTCTGGAAATTATATTTTTATCAAATCAGCTAAGTTGACCTTGAATGTCTGGAGCTCCAGTCATCTCACTATAACAAAGAAACGAACGACATTATAAAACATGGAAAGGTTGTAAATTGGTGTGACGGGTGAACACGAGAGAGAGAGAGAGAGAGAGAGAGAGAGAGAGAGAGAGAGAGAGAGAGAGAGGGGGAGAGAGAGAGGTTTGGCGTAACCGGAGTGGAGCGAGTCTGTCCCGGCGAGGTGTCGGGTTTCAGAAGCTTCTGTGCGGATCATTAGCAGACGCTTTTATCAGGAGGAAGAGGAGGAGGAGGAGGAAGAGGAGGAGGAGGAGGAGGAAGAGAGCAACAGAGGCAGTCAGAACAACATGTAAGCGCTGTGACCCTTCCCAGTTCAGGCTAACGGCCAGGATTATTATTATCTTCTTTCTGAATCACACCAGCAATATTTGCTTTTGGTCCGGATACAAACGCCTGCTTGTTGCCACTGTGGTCTGACATCTCGCAACACGCTTTAGTACATGCGTCTTCTTTTCAGTCCAAATATATACACATACTCAAATCATTTACTAGATGAGTCTTGTTTTCTGGGTAAATAAATCTAAATAAACTGAGTTGTTGCTTAAAAAAGTATCTCCCAAATGAGCTCAGAAAAATAATGTTTTTTCTGTTTAAATTAAGATTATTTTTCTGACCCGATTGCCAGATAATTTTGCTGTTTTTTTAAGCAACAACTCAATTTTAAAGTTTTTTAGAAATTAAAGAATTTGTAAATATTTGGACTGTGGATAAAAACACATGTTCATGTATAAATACACTCTATAAGCCAGCGAGGTGCTCAGGTCAGGGTGGCTGTGAAAGGGTTAACGTGTACGAACACAGATCGATGACCGTGACTCAGGGATCACGTGAACGAACACATTCATCTAATCCAACAAAAGCTGATTAATGCAAAACTGGAAAAAGCGAGATTAAGTGTTTCTCTGTATTACTGTAACTTTACCATCAGGTTCCTTAAGCATCCATTAATCTTCTAATGCGCAACAAACGTATTGCAGATTGTAAAGCGTGAACTAACGGGATCTTATGGTGAAGTGTTATCCAGCAGATGATCTCTTCAGCCTGAGAGCATGTGATCGCAGCGCGGCTTTATCCGCCTAAGAAAAAGGCCAAAGGACAGATCGCTTACGAGCGGCAGCGTGAGAACAGAAATAGACGCGAGTGTCGTCTTGCTCAGCGTTGGGTTTCTCCGCATGAGGGACGCAAACAATGTGCCTTACAAGTCACAGCCTGTGTGTTCGGGGAAAGACAGAGATACTCTTCCACATCCAGCATTCTTGGGTTACCTTAGCTTTGCAAATTGTTGTGATATCAGTTACCATTATCGGGGCAATGAATTCCCAGCATGCACCAAGACTGAACCTTGCCTTCTGGCACTCGATGAGGTCGTTGCATCATCCGTGACTCAGCGAGGGCAGACAATAAGCCAACCACACACACACATGTCAGATTGTTATTACAAGGTCAGAAATTGTATTTGGCAATTCTTAAACAAGTGCATACAATACAGCTAAAAGCGTTTGAGTTTTTGCCAAGTGCTCAAAGAGTATTAGTCACATTCTGAGTTTAAACATGGACTGCCACCAGTTCTACTAGTACACGAGCGCTCGCTCCGAACAACCACTGGATGGGGGGATAGTGCGTACATACATACCATATAATCCTCCGAAAAATATAGAAACACAATATATTCAAAAAAAAAATAATAATAATAATTATACAGCCATGTTTAGCAAGTTCCCTTGAGTTCATATGTACATGTCCGATCGCTGAGGGTGGTGGTGGTGTGCAGCAAACGCCAAATCAAGGGTCTCGTTCCTTTTTCACCTTTACGTCTCCGGCTAAAATGGTGGCGATCTCCCCTTGCATGAACGCCCAGGGCACGTTGGATCCGACTAGCGGGCACTTCTCTCCGCTAGGGCAGTACACCTCTCCCGTGGCGCCCTGCTGTTTGATGCTCTCGCGGGAACACGGGAAACAGAACTTGTGCGACGCCACGGACGGGCACTGGACGAAGTGTGTGTCCTCGAGGCGCTCGTGGCACAGGGTGCAGCACAACGGCACGCTCCCGGGCGGCACCGAGGAGTCGGGAGCGCTCTGCGGGTCCATGGGCGCGCCGAGAGCTAGCCGGCGCTGCGCCGCGGGCGACGGGGGGCTTCCGGTGTTCCTCCGGCTCGCCGTCGTCGTCGAGTGCACCTGGTCTTTGGGCGAGCCGGTGCCGGCGTTATCCGCGGCTAGGATGAGCGCGGCCATGGGAGACTGGCCGTTCTGCGCGGTGGGCTCGGGGGGGGTGGTGCGCGGGTGCGGGGAGATCGTCGTCGACGGCGGAGCGGATACGAATCCCGGTAAAGCCGCGGTCGACATCTTGAGCACCTCGGATGGAGACGGGAGCCACGGCGGAGCCTCCCCGTTGAGTTTAGCCGCGGTTCCCTCGCCGTCCGGCTCAGGAGACGGTTTCCTTTTAATGCCCCGCGAGTGTTTGCCGCGGTCTGGAGAGAGAGAGAGAGAGAGACACTGGCTTAGAGACGGAAAACTCCACTGCGTGACCGTCACTGGCTCTGTTTTTGGCTTTAGACAAAATACAATACAATTTTATTGGTGACACTTTACAATACGGTTCATTAGGTAATGTGTGATTGGACTAAAGTAGTGCCCAAGCACATTTACAAACATTACGAATAATCTGAGTTTAACACATGCTCTGAAATCTCACAATCATCGAAAGACTGAATGCATGATGAGGTTTCAACATTACACTAGTTTTAAACTAGTCTGACGGTTCGTGCATGACCATGGTCGGCTGTTTTCTGGCTTTAGACTAAATACAATTTGATTTATAGCATGTTTCAAAACAACCAAAGTGCTTTAAAAAAGCAGAGGAAAATAAGATCGAAAACTCAAAACACAGTAAAGTAAATAATGATAATCAAGAAATCTTGAATAAATGTGCCGGATGATGTCAAGCCATGAAAGACATTTATAAATATTATGAACGAACGCATGAATAATCTAGAGTTGAACACATGCTCTGAAATCTCACACTCATCTAAAGACTGAATGCATTAAGTTTTAATGTGCATTAAGCATTGAGTTTGAAAACAGGCATGTGTAACTGTAAATAAGACATCAAATATTCTAAGATCGAGTGTTATCAGAAATGTTAGAGTTTGAAAGCATGCTCTAAATACGCTTTCGTAAAACAATTGCATGTGTTATATAAACGATAGAAGAATGTGGCGTGTTACAACATCTCATATTATTGTAGTTTGAAGTGTTTTAAACGACATGTGCATGAGGAAATACTAAAGCTTGAATGATGACGGTTCAGACGCACAACATAGAGTTTGTGTGTGTTTCTTTTACTTCCACAAACATTGCATGGCTGCAGGAGCATGTCTAACTGTATTGTAAGCTCCACATGCATGCACGAGCCGTACCTGTTTTCAGGGCCCCGGAGCCGCTCTCGTACCCGAGCCGGTGCTGCAGCGCCGCGTGCTCCTTCTTGAACCGGGAGTCGAGGCTCTGCAGCGCCATCAGGTCCCGCACCGTCTTGCCCTTCTGCGTCCAGTCCTCGACGCGCTTGTGTGCGTCGCTCGCGTCGCTCATACTGTGTTTCTCCTTCATGTCGTCTGCGCGTTTGCCCGCGTGCTCCGGCGGGATGCCCATCTGCACCGATCTCCCGTTAAGCGCGTGCACTGGCAGGCTCCCGTTGACGAGAGGAACCAGACTGGGCGGCACGGCTCCGCTCCGCCGCGGGTTCGGGCTCTGGCGGTTCAGCTCGGGGGGCTCGTCGGGCTTCGGGAACCCGTTTGGCACCGGGATCCCGTTCGCTTGCCGGGACTGGTACTCCGGGCCCAGTCTCGGGGGTCTGTCCGACGCGAGCGGGTACCGATCCAGTGGTTGCGGAGGGCGTGAGCCCGGTTCCGTGTGGTTGATGGGTTGTATGTCCTTCCCCGGTTTGCCCCCCGGTCCCGGTGATCTGCCCTCCTGGAAGCCGTGAGCGCGCTTTAGCTGTCGTGCGGTCTCGATCACAAACTCGATCCGATCCGCTCCTTCGTAGTTGACGCATCCGCGACACACGGCTTCGGTAAAATCCCAGATCATCGCCCACGGCATGCGGGGAAGATCGCACAAATAACACGATTGCCTGCGCGAGGCAGCGACCGCCGCGGACGACATGCTGCTGGACACAAACGGCGAAATATGCAACTCAAATCTCCAAATGTGGCGCGTTTATCTCAGGAAAAAAAAAGAATAATATATCTCGGTGTAGTTTCCCCAGCCCCGTCCGAAAAAAGCGAGAAAAAGGGTGAAGTTATGCTCCGAAGTTCATGGCAGTGTGCGCGCTCCAGCCCGCGAGCTCTCGGTGTGCGAGCGGTGACGTCACCGCGAGGCTTCTATTTACTTGAGTCTTCGAGAGCTCGGTCTGCGCATGCGTGCGCGCTCCCCCCTAACAGAACGGCGCGGTGAATGAGAGCGAAAAAACATCAAAACATCGACAAAAAGGTGGAACACATGCCAAAATAAGTGCTATCACGGCCTTGCTGCTATGCGAGGAATATAAATGTTAATAGGACGTTGGATTAAGCATAGCACATTTTTGAATATGACTGAATGGAATACCATGCAGTGTTATTATGTCACATTGACTTAATATTTTAGATAAAATGTTGAACTCAGACGTTTTAAAGACGGAAATCCTTTTCGTAATCACTTGATAGTGTTTACTGCGTCGTCGCTAGCTTAGCTAATGTATAGGCTATATTTTAATGAACGTAAATAATATAAAACGTTTTACCAAGACCAAAGTTACGAAAACGTTGTGTGGAACAACCCCACAAACATTAGAAAATAGGCTAGTTGCATTTTTGGATGTTTTAATGGTATTAGTTTGTTTTGTCACTCAAACAAACAATTCATGGTTAACAAATATGTTGAGCAGTGTCTAATTTTAGCTCCTAATGTAAATTTTTCTTGTCATTGTGTAAAAAAAAAAAAAAAATCAAGTTACAGTATTGATTTTTAAACCCTATGTAGAGTTCATGGGGTTCTGCAGTACAGGGATGACCCAATTACAGATCCAGTGATCCAGTGCAATAGTTTTAAATGACCTTAGGATCCTCACAGTTCCACATTCCAGCCAACGTCATCACTTTAACTCTTCCATAACCTCAAATACATAAAACAACACGACCGCCGGAATGAGCCTTCGACTCTGACACAGTTCAGGGAAATTACTGCAGTATTGACTGGTTTATTTAATAGTTTCAGCGTGCACTTGTGTTGTGTGTCTGTAGATTATTCATCTGCTGGACTTCGTTCAGCCTCAGTCGGATTCATGCCTGCCAAGAGCATGTGATTCATAAAGCCTGGCAAAATTATGGAAAGTCCCATAGTGAAGACAACGAGTCTAGACCACGTGGTTCTGCCTTTCCAAATTCTTTCATGCATTTATGCATGACTCATGACTGAAAGTGAGTTGGCCAATAGTTCTGCTGGGCTACATGTAGAGGTGCTCCTCCAGAACGCAAGCGAAGAAATGGTTTAATTCGATTATTTAATTTTCATTTAATCATCTTTTTTATACTAAATTATATTTAAGCTGTATTTATAATCCATTGATTCACTTTTTGAGCATACCTGAAAGTTAAATTTCCAACTTAAACTATTGTAAATCTTGAATGCTTTGGAGCAACAGATTCAGTCTCTTTTCAAAGACGTCACAGATTATTGATTATTGCTGAAGTGAACATTTTTATATGAAATATATATTTTCAAAATCACGTTTTACTCTAAAACTGCAAGAAAATCAAAGCCATAAATCTAAACAAGCTGTCTTCCAAATGAGTGTAGACGGAGTGCTTTTGTTAATGAAACGTGGAATTATGTCAAAACTGTCCGTCTTTCTGTCCGGCCAGCACTGGGGCGAGGCGATTCGGGACTGGGACTTGTTTTTGCAGGCACTCATGAGGAAGTAAGAGAGTTAGTATGAACCTCACCCATCCGTGGAAAAACAAACCAACCCTACGCTGGCAGACGGCCAGAGATCGGGAACACGCTCCGCTGAACGAGGCGCTGCCAAGCCGAGGCCACGCTGACAGCGAGTGCATGTCGGCTCTGCCCAGAAACATGAGCGGGGACGAGTTCTGCACTTCTGTTTTGACAGCAGAATTTATAGCAGATGGTCAGGAAGGGTTTAAGATCTTTAAATGCATCTCATGTAGAGCTTCTCTGTTGTGTGATGCAACACTCTCCAGAGCGGACTGCGTAACATTATTCGGAGACTCATGCCTGTCAGTGATGTGTTTGCGTTTCTCTCAGCATTACGACATGCGTGTCAGTTCCGCCTGAAAGCAGGAGTCAGCAGACCCGGGGAATGTGCATGAGTGTGTGTGTGTGTGTGTGTGTGTGTGTGTGTGCGTCTGCAGTGAATGGAGCACATTGTTCTGTGTTATGGCTTTAAAGTGCAGCACCAACACTTTCTGCTGAGATGTAATCCTCTCCAGTGACTAACGCGTTAGATTAGAGCACATGTTGCTTACTGGCGTTTTCTCTTGCAGGCTTTCCCTTGTTGTCATGCCGACATGTTTTCTAGCCCACACACACACACACACACACACACACACACACAAAAACCAAGGCATCACTTTTAAGTCCAGCAATGTCAAAATAAAAGACTTCAAAAACATCAAATATTTATTTAAATCTATTAACCTGCTCGTCATGTAACCCCCCAGGCTCTTAAGCGGGTTAAACTGGATTGGAGCATCCCTCCTCACCTCACGGCCTTGTCTGGAGAAACTCAGCCCTCGTTAGTTTGATTGGCCGGCTGATTGTATTTCTGTAGTGCTGGGAATCCATTGCACAATCTACTTTACTGGGATATTGCATGCGGACGGACAGCAGGCTTGGGGTTTACTGGGGATTAGATGGGCCTTGTTAGAGTAGTGACATAGTTTACTAGGTGAAATTAATTTTGTTACCATATGCATTTAATTTTAAAAATAAATATAGAATTAATGCAACAGTTTGCATTTAGTTCTTTGAATATATATATATATATATATATATATATATATAGTGTTGGGCAACAATTCATTGCGATTATAAAAAGTTTGTGTTTACATAATATATGTGTGTTCTCTGTATAATTATTTTGTATATATAAATACACACATATGCATATATATTTAAGACATATATGCATGTATATACTGTATATATATATATATATACATCATTTATATTATATATAAATTCAAATATTTTAAATAAGTTATTTTTTTTATTAAATATATACATTCAAGTGTGTGTATACAAAATAATTATACACAGCACACATACATTATTATATAAATGCAAACTTTTATTTTGGATGTGATTAATCGCTGCCCAGCACTAAATATATATAATATATATATAATCCAGTAAATGAAAATCTTTTTTATTTGTAACTTTGATGAATGCGAGCCAAAGGATCAGATTATTCATATCAAATTGATGGTAAGTAATACATCAGTGCGAAAACTACTTTAAATTATGCAACACTCAAAACAAATATTATAAAACTGATTGGATGATCCACATTTGTAGTAAGAATAAAAAAGATGATTTACACACACATTAGTTTTATTCTATATTAATCCATTATATAAGTGAGTCCAGATGTGCATGTTATGTGAAATTGTTATTTTAAATTCTAAAAATTCACCATCATCATAAAACTATTTTTCCTCTCAGGTTCTGCTTCGGCGAAAGGAAAACAGAGGCCGACCCGGAGCGCTCCACAGACCATAATAACCCGTCTGAGGTTTCCTGGAATTGTCGGCCAGACGGATCCTTGCACACACACATTCTGACAGTGTGTCCTGCTTATCTGAGTCACATGGGAAGAGTCGGACAGATCCAGATCAGAGAGATTGAGTTAGACACTGAGAACGAGACGGGTCATGTGACCTCTGCCGTCTGAGAACTGAGACAAAACATTTGTTTAAAGAGCACATATTCTGCTCTCCTCATCTTCATCTTCATCTTCATCTGTGTTCAGATGTTTACTGGGAAAGCTCCAGTTCTCCTCTATATCAGTGTCAGTGTTCCTGAACTCCTGAAACGTCTCGAGTTTCTCCAGGGAACACGTCACAATATTCCTCATTATAATAATTAATGCGCAGAATAAAGGGGCGGGGCCTGGTTGAGTTAGTAGTGTGTTAAACTGGCAGTTATGGAAAGGGGCGGGACATTTCCCAAACTCACTCGAAGCGCTCGACCAATCACTGCTCCAGCCAGCCAATCAGAGCACAGTGTGTTTTCAGGAGGCGGGGCTTCATAGAGACAGGAAGTAAACAGAGCGTTACTGACAGACTGGGAAGAGAGGAGCCGCAACAATGGAGAATATGAGGAGAATAATCAACATTCGAGTTCTAGAAGAGCCTGAAAACATCATCAAGACTTTTTTAAAGTGCAGAATATGAGCTCTTGAATTAAATCAAACACAAATAACTCTGAGCCGCTGTAAGGCATCTACTGTGTGGGCTGATTATTCGGCACAGGACAGATCCTCTTTACTTACACACACTAACACCCTTCAATAATTCAACAAAAAGCTTTGTACGGCACGCTTTGATGTGTTAAAGCCGTTTAATATTTAAACAGCACATTTTCCAATTAAGCATTCTCAATTTAATCTTCCCGTGGACCGGAAAGGTGCTTTGCTGCGTGCAGAACTGTGAATTACCCAAATAGCCTTAATGCGAATAACTTCCAGTCGAGCAATTCTATTAACTCTGATGATTTTTGTCCATTGCCCAAGCGTTTAGAGTCGAGCACTGAGTGTGTGTGTAATCAGTGATGTAATTGCATGTTCTGCTAATGTTGTGAGCATTACCTCTTGCCCAGTGAGAGGCTCGTCTCTGATTGGTTGGCTCGCCACACAGGAAGGTGTAACTATGGAAACCATGGCCTTATCTGGATAGCCTGTGACAAACCACTTCCTGTTTACAATGTTTTGGTCACGTTCCCTTTCATGTCAGTAGACGTCCCGCGTGGTGAACGACTGAGGAGAGTCGGCTCTGTCTGAATGGCGTGTTTACTCTGGAGAGCCTGATTTAGTGTGATTGAAAAGCTGCAGTGGATCCTGCTGAGTGTGCATGCAGTAAATCCACATCACTGTGATGGAGCGCTGGGAGAGGGCGGGACATTTCTCTCGGAGTAATCAGCACAGAAACACTGGAGGAGAGATGCGAAGGCCACACACAATGGTGTCCGGTTACAAGCCGGTCAGATTTCGCTCCTTCTGACGCATGAAGAGGATCTTATTATAATATTCTGCACGTTCACACACACCAGCGACACTGGGTTGGGCGACACCAACAGAGCCCAGATCCAGCTGAGCCTGAA